CACTGGGATTCGCCGCTACCAAGACAAGATACGGGACTGCATGAAGGAACTGGACTTTATCTTCCGGGAACTGCAAGGTGAGCTGCCCCGACCCACCGGCCTTGTGCCGCTGACCCGCTGGAAAACAGCCATCCATGGGACCCAACAGTCCTGGCTGATGGCCACTGACCAGCATCTGCTTTAACCAGGGTGTGTACGTGGCCTTGAGGGGCTGCTGTGGATTCGTGTGGGATCTTGGGAGTGTTGGAAAGGGGAGGGAAAAGGGGGCAGAAAGACTGTTTCTGCAGATAACAAAGAAGAAGTCTGTTCCTAAGCAGTGCAAGGCCAGTTTCTCCTCTGATGTGATTTCCTACTCCCACCGACTTCCCATGTCTTTGGGTGCTCAATCATGCTTTCAAGAAGTGTGCTCTTCATTTGCCCACCCCTATCCCCACCTAGCTGATCTCTGACCATGAGATCCAGGGATACAGTACCAAGCCCTAACCTTGAATTTCTTGCCAGCTTTGTTAAACATTCTTCTCCATTTTTTTTTCAGATAAACTCACCAAACAAATGAAGTGTAACAGGTAAATCCTTTTCTTTCCTTAAAAAATGTTCCTGACAAATTTCTCCAGCAGTTTTTTATTTAAGGACCCTATGTCCTGTGCTTCTCTGCTTCAGTTTCAAGGAGAGCCAAGCAGAGTGTGGAAGGCTGTCCTTCCTCTCAGAAGGGGAGGGTCAGGTCTATTCACATCTTCTTATTTTGCTGTTAACAAGATGTGATTTGTGTTTCATGAGGCACTAACATTCAACACTGTTTCTTTACAGTGGGGCTTTGGCTATTGGTACCTCTTCAAACTCCTAAGTGTTAGAAAATACTGTTTATTCCTCAGGACTCTGGCTTGGCGCTGTGAGTCTTGCAGAGAAAATCTCTCACCTAAAAATGTGAAGAGCATTTTGTTGCATGCATCTCCTCTCCTTGCCAGAGGTGAAGCAGCAGAGGTGGAGCCTCAGGGCACAGCTCTCCAAATCTGCACTGGGCAGAAATCTCTGGGAACTCACCAGAGAAATCATTTCTCTTCAGCCTGAGGGAGACACTGGGTTTGCTTCAGCACTCAGGAAAAGTCTGAGCCTGTTCCAAGGAAAGACCACAGAGGGGTTCCCACCAACTGAGCAGAAGCTGGAGCAAACCCAGTGCCTGAAAGGATTCCCAGACAAATGCAAATGCTGCAGGAGATATGAAATGTGTGAACAGTATTTCTCTTAAGACAGCGCTAGTCCAATGCTCCAATATATTTCTGCTGGGCACAGTGGTGCATCTTTTCTCCTAGCTTTTCTGAATAAATGTTATTTAGAAGTTATATAAAAGATTTTTTTAATTCTTTTTTTTTATTGCTGAAACTGTTGCAGAGTTAATCAAAACTGATCATTAGAAGTAGAGTGGCTAAGGCTTGAGGAAGCCGTAGGCCCAAAGTGGTAGTTAGAGTTAACAATATAGTTGTAAGAATGGAATATGCTGAAGGAGTGGAAACAGTAATCAAAGGGTTTAGCCAAGCATGTATATAACGATTTGTTGCCTTAGATAGATATGTTTGTGGTTAGGGTTTGTTAAACTGTTTCTAGGAGCAAGACAGCTGGAACAGATTTTCGACTGGGGGTAGATGATTATCAATTGTTATCAGTATGAAGTATGAGCTTGTTTGTAACTGAATGAAACTGTTTTGCTGTGGAAACTGCACGTAAACTTGTTTGTGTAAAAGTATAAAAGCTGAACTGAGAATGAGGGTCTTTGGAATCCTGACTTGGGACGTTAGTCCTCAGGTTCCCGGGCCCCGAATAAAGCACCGCATAAACCGGCACTCGGTTTGTGTCTTTGTTACGGGCAACAAAACTGCAGTTTACAAACGAGTTTTTCTTAATCCATAAATTCTGAAGAAAATCCTACTTTCTTCACCGCTGTGGCAGTTTGAGCCGTTTGGCAGTTTTTAATTTTTGGAGCAAATCTAGAGGTATTTTTTTAATCAGTGTACATGTCCATTCATTTGTCTTGTGAGCTCAGTCTTCTACAGACATACCAATGGCTGTGCTCTATATGGAATGAGACAGCTACTCAAAATGGAGGGAAAAGAAATATCGTTTTCTGAGGCAATACGAAGCTCTACTTGGCAGCAACTTGCCAAGTGTGTTATTAACATAGCAATAAAATATGCCCATTATTACAGTAAGTGAAACTTTTCCATCTTGTGTATTCCTACAGCACAAAACCAAATCAAAGGATCGGCGTGTGACAGATATAAACAAAATTTTTGATTCACATACGGCCAGAAGAAAAAGAGAGGTGAAAAACAAACATCAGAACTGAGATGGAAAGGAAAAGTTAAATATTGTTTAAAATTACCTTTAATGATGAGAATCTGCCAAGTGTCTTGACCTCCCCTGTATCCCTTGCATTACATAAGTGTAAGAAAATCTCTGACTGCTGTTGTTTTCCAAACTCTGGGCTGTATCATCTCGTGGTTCTCATTATACTTATGCACTATTATTTGTGGTGATTCCGTTGTCCTTAGGTGGCTGGATAACCAAAGAAGTGGTGCAGGTAAGCAAGGCTGCATGATTTCATACCATTACCAGGAATTGGTTCTGCAGAGCGTTGTTTGTAGATGGCTGCAGTAGAAAGCTGTTCAGGACCATGCTACAGATTTGGATTATCACATTCAGCACAAGTTTCTTGGGAGCAGTATTATCTTTGTATGGATCAACCTCTAGGCAACATTTTAACACTTCCACAGAGTGTTCAAAGAGCCATGGAAACCACCACGGTCAGTAGCACACAAAGATGCTTTACCAGCCCCATCTCCATGGGCACAGATCATAGAATCACAGAATATGCTGAGTTGGAAGGGACCCACAAGGATCATCAGTTCCAACTCCTGGCCCTGCAGAGGACACCACAACAATCCCACCCTGTCCCAAACAGCTGCTGCTTGGACTTCATTTCACTGCCCAGTGAGCTGTCCTGGGCTGCTCTTTGGAGCTGCAGCTCCCACCTGTGCCTTGAGCACCGACACCAAATGCTGCCCTGGGCTCTGCTAGGTGCAGGAGCTCCCCACTCCCTGACACAGACCTCAGCTTTGGGCCACTCAAGGTCTGTACAGGGGCTCTGGAGGCTGCACTTTAAGTAATGGATGCATTTGCCCACTCTCAGCATTTATCAGTCCCAGTTTGTTGTCCAGGTCCATCCAGGTGTCTTTGAAGAGGCAAACAGGGGCAGATTTGGTTCTTTTCCTCCCTGCCAGCTCGGGGACCTCTCTCCCTGCTGGTCCAGCTGTCCGGGCCTCCCTGCCCGCAGCAGCTGCCCCATGCCCACAGGGACTCCTCCCAGCTTTCCTTCCCACTCCGAGTCCTGGCTGCTGCATCCCTGTGTAAGCAGGGGTGGACTATTTGCCCTGTTACCCTTGAAGCAGCCAAGCTCCCAGCTCTGAGCTGCTGAATGGAATTCAGCTGTGACCAATTCACGTGGCAGGCGAGATGCAGGAAGCGCGGCGGAGGAGAGGGAAGACCCTCCCTTTAAGGGGGAGGAGGCAGCAGCATTTCGCCCGCAGTGCAAACGACAGGCCCTGCTCCCGTCCCGCTTTCAGTTTCGTTTCCCACCAGTGCCTCCTCCTTGCCCTCAGCGCTGTCTCGAGGCTCAGGCGCCATGGCCGAGGCGGGTGCTGCGGCCAGGCTGAAGGACGAGCTGACCTGCCCCATCTGCCTGGACATTTACAGGAACCCCGTGTCCCTGGGGTGCGGTCACAGCTTCTGCGAGGAGTGCATCCAGAAGGAGCAGAAATGCCAGCAGGGCTCTTCCAGGTGCCCCCTCTGCCTTTCCCCCGCAGGCCTCACTGAGGAGCTGAAGCCCAACTTCCATCTCCGCAACATAGTGGAGAACTTTTTGGATGCTTCTGTTCATCAAGAGGAGGAAAAGCAGGAAGTGCAATGCAAAGAGGAGGAGGAAAGTTTGGGGCAGCAAGCGGAGGTGATCCTGTGTGATTTCTGCCTTCAGGAGCCCCATCCAGCTGTGAAGACTTGCCTGACCTGCGAGGCCTCTCTGTGCCAAGCCCACCTGAGCAAGCACAGCACAAAGAACACCCAGAAGAACCACGTCCTGGTGGAGCCCTGTGGTGCCCAGGTTTTGGCTGAGAGGAAATGCCCCCAGCACGGCAAATTGCTGGAATGCTACTGCGAGATGGACAAGGTCTGCATCTGCCTGCTGTGCTCTGTCCTCAGCTCCCACAGGGAGCACAAGATCATCAGTTTGGAGGAGGCTTTTGGCCAAGCCCAGGTAAGAGGCTGCCGGGACAGCGGCTCGGGCATGGATTGCACTAGGAAAACCACGGGGGGCTGCGGCGCGGAGAGCTGCCCGCAGCACAGGGCTGGAACTCCTGCCGAGTTTCAGAACTGCAGACCCAGCATGGGGTTAAATTCCCATCTTGGGCTTTTATTCTCAGTTTAGACCCAGGTTCTCTCTGGGCTTGCCCCCTGGGATGTAAAACGAGATGTTGTAAACACTTTCTTCCTATCCTGAGGGGAAAGTTTGGGCAAACTGGTGGGACCAAGTGCTCGTGGCTTTGGTGCACTTCCAAGCCAAAGATCAGCCTGAGCCGCAATTATGCAAAGAAAATTGATGAGAGAGTAGCAGAAGGGAAGCTGAGAGCAGCAGAAGTAGCTTTATGTGTGGCTACTATACATGAACAGTTTTCAGTTTCAGATTGTTTTTCTTGTGCTAGTAATTGAGGCATTTGTTCAGGGATAAAATCGTGCAGCAAACCTTTCTGTATTGATTTGTCCTGAGAGCATGCAGTGAGCAAACCTTTGGCAAGTCTAGCTTAGCCCATGTCTATAAAATGCACGTATGTGAGTCCTATCCTGATATCTCCCACTGGTTATATTTGTAGCGTGTTCTTCCCAAAACTCTAGAAGAGGTGAAAAACTATGAAGCTGCGCTGGATAGAAGCATAGCAAACCTGCTGGAACAAGCAGAGGAAGTAAAGGTTTGTTCCAAGACCCCTATCACTGTGGGGATGGTTGCATGCTGGTAACTGATAAGGTTTTCTGTTGCCCTTTCCCAGATCATGGATTCTGAAGCTTTTTTAGATCGTGGATGGTTTCTTATGTATTTTTGAGGTTTCTTCTTTGAGGGAGGGTGATGAACAACTTTCTTATCGGTCTGGGAGGTACATTCTTAGTTAAGCTTGAAAGTTGTTAAATCCGTGCCTCCTGATGAGTGATTGGTGTGTGGCTTTTTTATTTTTCCAACCTTTTTCAATTTTTAGTTACTTCTCTCATCCCAGAAAAGAACAGGCCCTTTTCTGAGTGAGAGCTCATGTGGAAAATGTCCCTACACAGTCCCTTACAGCTTTGAAAGTGTTTTCTTAATAGACTAAGGAGAGTCTGCAGAGGGAACAGCTGGAGAGCCTATTCAAAGAGATCAGTCTGCAGCTAGAGAAAAAAAAAAGTGAGATCCTGAAAGCTCTCAGTGACTATGAGAACCAAGAAGTTTCTCGGATTCATATGGAGTTAAAGAACCACAGAGAGCAGAAGAATTCAGCCAGCCATGATGTTCAGGAGCTGGAGGCTCTGAGAAATCAGAAAGATGTACTTCTTTTCACCAGGGTACCTAACAGCATCCCCCTTCCCAGAGATACACAGCTCTTGGGCTGGCCTGTGCCTGTGCTATGCTAATTCTACTTTCAAAATGTCTTTACAGGCTTTTTCAGCAATTCAAGCCAGGTAAGATCTTCCCAAGGTTTAATATCTTTACTGATGATCTGCACGAGGGGATCGCGTGCACCCTCAGTAAGTTGGGCGGGATGTTGATCTGCTGGAGGGCATGAAGGCTCTGCAGAGGGATCTGGACGGGCTGGATCGACGGGCCGAGGACAACTGCATGAGGTTCAATAAGGCAAAACGCCAGGTCCTGCATGTGGGTCACAACAACCCCAGCTACAGGCTGGGGGAAGAGTGGCTGGAAAGCTGCCTGGTGGGAAAGGACCTGGGGGTGCTGGTCAGCAGCAGCTGAACAATGAGGCCACACCTCGAGTGCTGTGTCCACTTCTGGGCCCCTCATGGCAAGAAAGACATTGAGGGACTGGAGCGTGTCCAGAGAAGGACAACAGATTTGGGGAAGGGTCTGGAGAGTCAGTCATGTGAGGAGTGGCTGAGGGAGCTGGAGGGGCTCAGCCTGCAGAAAAGGAGACTCAGGGAGGACCTTCTCACTCTCTCCAACTCCCTGACAGGAGTGTGGAGCCAGGTGGAGGTTGGGCTCTGCTCCCAGGGAACAAGGGACAGGATGAGAGGACATAGTCTCACGCTGTGCCAAGGGAGATTGAGTTGGACATTGGGAGGAATTTCTTCACAGAAGGGGCGATTAAACATTGGAAGGGGCTGCCCAGGGAGGTGGTGGAGTCCCCATCCCTGGAGGTGTTCAAGGAACAACTGGAGTTGGCACTCAGTGCTCTGGTCTTGTTGACAAGGTGAGGATGGGTCACAGGTTGGACTTGATGATCTTGGAGGTCTTTTCCAACCTTAATGATTTTATGATTCTATGGTTCTATGATTCTTTCTGCATGTATTAGGGAACGCAAGCCAGTTCCTATCACGGATGGTGTGAAACTGCCAAACCCACCTATTGCTTTGGATAAAGCAAAAACACGCAATATTCTAAGCCTTTTCCGACAATTCCTTTCAAAGATGGAGTCCTCAATTAAACCACCACCTGGTAAGTGATCATTTCACTATAGCAAAAGCAAGATGGAAAAGTCAACAAAACATCTTTAAGAAAGGGTTGTAATACAAGACACCAAGTACACGAAGTACCCCTAGAAGTGTTGTTTCCTAACTTTGTATGCTTATTTGCATACAAATGCAAATGTGTCTACAGAAAGGGCAACTTGTCCTGGGCTTCAGTGTTTTGGGGCATGCCTTGGATCCACCCTGTTAAAACAGGCTCTGGGTTAAGAGGTGTGGAATTTCTAGGAGTTTTCTGTGAGGATTAAAAGAAGATAATAGCAACTCCTCCCCTGTCTGTGGCATCCCTTTGATTCAAGGGGAAAGTTGAGAACTCATCACAACAGCAGAAGGTGGAGTTTGTTTATGACATAAATACTCTGCTCTTTCTGTGCAAATAATTCTGCTTTTTTGTAATGCTTTGTATGCTCAACCTACAATCCCAGAGCTGTACCTGGTGGGGCATTTGTCCAACTGAATGAAAAAAATCAGGGTTCCCTTGTTACTGCTCTCTTGATGGTGCTTCAGCCCTCACTGACAGTGAGAGTGAGCCGTGGGTCAAGGCTGAGACAGCTGGGGTTGGAGCGTGTGTGACAGTGAGTGATGTGCACACCTAACTGGCCACCATCTGTAACAGCCTTGGGTACACTAAGAAGCACACTGTGCTAAAACTGAAAGAGCAGCATTTCCCAAAATGTGCTGTCCACCCACGTCAGAATTACATAGGAGCAACTAAGAGAGTGCAGAAGGTGTTTCAGTTATGTTACGATCTGCTTAAATATTGCAGAAAGAACTTTTAGTTTCGAATATTCCCTTGAGCAAAATTAAAACTCATACAAGTTATCTGTTGATACCAAAACTGTTTTTATTAATTGCTAAGAGATGCAAAGAGAAAGAGGAAAAAATAAGAAAAGGTTGGAAATGCTAAGATTACTTTTAGAAGCAGAGAAAAGATTACCACCAAACTACCTTTTTCGTTTAACTGGTCTGTAGTGTGGGGGGGGCAGAGAGAGAAAAGCAGTTTTCTGCCTTTTTTTTTCTCTGTCTCTGCCGCTTTTTGGTGTTATCTCTTTAGCAGCAGGGGGTCTTTCACAGCTTCAGTTCTCTGGAATGCAGCCAGGATGTGAGCTCCTCGGCTCACACCGGCCGTGTCCCAGGCTGTGTAGAGGTCTCGGTCCAGTTGTACCTCTCTGCCTTCAGACGTATGGTCAGGGTGGAGGACTTACGCAGGTGGCACGGTGGATCCCAGTCCATTTCAAGACGGCAGAGATCCAGTCTTCTGGTGACAGGCAGGCAGCTTATGGTGGCAGGAGGAAAGGTGAGGGCGAGGCGGGGGAGAGACCCTCAGCTGCTATAGCCAATTGTCTTTCCCACTCCTCTTTCCCTGCTATTCCCAAGTTTCTCTTCACCTCTTATAGTGTTCAAAGGAGGTTGTCTGTGGTGTTTTGGCACGTAGCCCTGTTCAGATGTTTGAAGAGATATGATAACCATGAACAATAACAGGATCTTTTGGCAGGAAGACTCCAGTGGGAAATTCTGGTGAGAACTTCTGGTGGAAAACTGACACAGAAGTTTTGGTAGGAAGTTTTTGACAGGCAGAAACAATGGTGAAACATAATTTTTGGCATTTGTATGTTATCTGTTTGTTACAGGTTAACATATGTTTTGGGTGGGTTGGACTTGGATGACTTGGATTGACTTGGATGAGTTGGATTGGGAAGTCCAGCTTTCATCAATGCACAATTATCTGTTAATCATAATGTGTTTTTTCTCTTTCTCTATATTTTAAAGGCGTGCCGTTTTCAACTCCTCACAGTGGTACAGGTGGACCCCAGCATCCACATTACCCACCTAGTTTTTCCTCTACCACTGGCTTGTCCTTTGGCTGTAACTCCTTCCAAGGCAGTTCTTCAAATCCTGGTTTTTCCTCTTCCACTGGCCTCTTTGGCAGCAGCTCTTCAAATCCTGGTTTTTCCTCTTCCACTGGCCTCTTTGGCAGCAGCTCTTCAAATCCTGGTTTTTCCTCTTCCACTGGCCTCTTTGGCGGCAGCTCTTCAAATCCTGGTTTTTCCTCTTCCCCTGGCCTCTTTGGCAGTAGCTCTTCAAATACTGGCTTTGGTGAGTTTGCTTGGAAATTCTGAAAAATTTGTAAAACCTCTGGGTTGAGATAAGAGCAGTTTGATAACTGAAACAAAGCAAAATATAATAATAAAGATACTACTACTAATGATAACAGTCATAAAAAGGAGCTAAGAGAGTGAGAAAAGCCAACTAAAACAAGTGATGCACAATAAAATTGCTCCCCACCTGCCCACTCCCAGCCAAAACCAGGGCAGGACTCAAATATGTGCAGTGCTGTCCCAGACGTGCAGAGTGTCCAGAGTTTCTGGGAGGTGAACACCAACAATGAGAGCTGCTGGAAGCTTGAAATCATTTGTGCCCTGTCTGAGTGCTGCCTGCAAGTGCCTCA